GTGAAACAGAATGCCTGACGTCTTATCATAACAAAATAGATTTTTGTCACGATAAGGAAATATCACATATCAACTGTGTTTGATGCATAACAAAACATGGAAAACGGGTTTTTAAAAAAACATGGAAAGACATCGCTCAAAAAGGTTAAAGTGGAGAAGTGAATGCCATAGGCTATCACAAGAAGTGTGTTGGATTGTTAGCAACAATGAGTTTATTTGACTCCTCCCCCAATTCCATAAATAGTCAGAAGCTGAAAGATAGACAATGACTCCCCCCCCCTCTTTGCCTTCTATTGAAATGACATCTATGAAAATAATAGATTATTTAATCGTACAACTAAAACTAATTAAAAAAACACAAAAAATGAATTTTTAATAAAAAGTATGTGAAACGTACAATTAATTCATTCCTCTGTCTATAAAGAATGAAGTGCGAGGTAGTTCTGGTCCAACAAAAGAAATTTCAAATTCATTTAGAAATTTCAGATCCTTTAGAAAACACAGTCTCACAAATAAAGCACAAAATACATACTCCGTAATGCACTTGTTTCTTCTGATTTTCTAAAGGAGTATGTTACTCTGTACTTCTGATTGTTTCTTTGCTGCTCCAAATTTTTACTTCGTCTTTCTGATCAGATTCCTAAGAAAAATCTGTAGGGGAGGGGGGATGGGGGGGCTTGGGAAGAAGAAGAGTAGGGAGTCCTGTCCAAGGTCTACAATTACACCCAGTCAGACTCCATACACAATTTTGTCACTTTCTCTTCATTTTTCACACATCATTGATATTAAATGAAACATTGTGAACATAAAATGTATATAGATGATGAAGAACACCAAATCGAGAGGAACAATGATTTCGCAACCCAAAAATGCCTCAAATCGCAAGATAAATCAAAAGGAATTGGAATCAATCATCATACCGTGGATAAGATAACAAAAACAAGCAAAAACCCAAAAGAAACCCCTTCAAATGCATTTAGATGTGTTCGAATCTGCAAACCATGGCCGAAGATGAATAGTGACGAACATCGCGTTGACCTCAAATTTAGCAAAAACCATCTGCGCAAATCCCAAATTGAGTGCATATTCACTTGCGCAAGTGTCATATCTACCCAGGGTTCCAAAAACTGTGCAAAGAAGAGCTACAAAAAATGGAAGAATCGAAGGGAAGATGGCAGTGAACAGTAATTCTAGTTACTACCCAATGTTCTTACGCCCTAGAGAGAGAAACTCTCATCTACTCCTTTTCTGCGGCTCAACTTTGCAATTGTGTGGACTTAAAATTTTTAACCTAATATTTTCCCTCTCCTTTGCCAAATTTTTTCCCTCTCCTTTACCGATTTTTTTTTCCTCTCCTTCTTTTGTCAAAACTTTTATCTTCCCTCAGTTTTTTCGTCCCATCTACCCTGCTAAGTTTCACTTCTTTAGATTTTATCTTTAATTAGTTTAACTTTTTTACTCTGTATTTTTTATTTCAAAAAAATTAGTAATTTTTTAAAACGATATCACTCAAAATAGAAGTAAAAAAGAGAGAATGTACTAAAATAGAATATTAATGTTTTTAATTTCAAAATTATAATTTTTATTGTGACATTTTATATTGACATTATAGAGTATTTTTTGGTATTATGTGTTGAGATTATTGGCATTGTAACTCCGGTTTTGTAAATAAAAATATGTAACTCCGATTTTGACTAGTATGTGATAATAGTTTTTTTACATGTACTCCCTCCATTCCAAATTAATTGAGACATTTTGGAGGACGTGTAAAATACCATCTTTTTTAAAATAATTTTATTTAAAAACATAATTGGTAATTAATAGATAGAAAATAAAAATTATACTTAAAATTCCCTGGGATACTCATACTTTTGACCGTATAAGATCTTACTAGTACTGATAACAGAACAAGGTAATTGTGCAGAAACAATTCTTCTAAATCCTCATATTTTTGATCGTATAAGATCTTACAAGTATTGATAACTGAACTTGTTACTCACACTGATCTAATTCCTTAGGATACTCATACTTTTGATAGAAATAATCCTAAATAGGACTAAAACATAGAGAAAAGTACCAAAATGGGACTTTCATGTTTTTTTTCCGGAATAGGACTTTGCACTGTGGTAATGTGATTTTGCATTGTGGTAATGTGGCAGTGTACATGTACAAATTACTATACTTTCTTGGTAATGTATATGACCATGTTTGGTAATGTAAGTCCTATTTCGGGAATAAAAACATGGAAGTCCTATTTTGGTATATTTTCAATGTTTTACTTCTACTTTGGTCTTTCTCCCTACTTTTGACCGCATAAGATCTTACCGGTACTAATAACTGAACTGGTTACTTGCAAAGATCCAATTCTTCTAAGATAAGATAAGATCAATACAAATTCAATCAGAGCTCTAGAATCGTTTTGGGCATGGCAATCCATTCTTCAGCTCAATTTGACATTTTCGGCGCTGGATTGAGCAAGAACCGCAGGTCAACCTTCTCGAGTTACTGTTCATATGCGACTCTTGAAGGTTCAATTCACCTCGGTTCAAGCTCGTTAGAAGGCCACTTTTTGGGGGATTATGGGCGACTTGGGATGCTCTTTAAACACCTGAAATTGGTTTTCCAAACCAGTTGAAGGAAGCTGCGAATTGAGCAAAAATTTTGGACTCGGAGTCAATGTTCAGAGCGAGTTCTTCAAGTCCAGGTTTACCCATGCTTTTTGCTCGTTTTCAATCCCATTTTCGGGTATTGTGTTCGTGATTCAAGGGCCATTCAACGTCTGGTGTTGGAATCCTAATTCAAACAACTTGATTTTGGTCTCTTTGATTTGGTTGCTCGAGTTAGTGTTCACGTTCTAGTGTACCTGTGCGGTTTTGCTAGTGGTCTAGCCTTTATTGCCTGGGCTGGTGTTTGCTTGGCTGTTTGAGGGTAATACTAATCAAATGGGGACTGTAATGGAGCTACAAACTGATCGTGCATCATGAATTTCCTTTGTGACCATGTTCTTCATTTCTTTGCTTGCACGACTTCGTCTTGGACTGCCCAGTTTCTGTGGTTTAATCATGAAGCTGTAATGGTATTGTTAAGAGGAATAGGACACAACCAGCTACGTGGAATGGTTTTCTGTGGCTTGAACCAGCTGGTCAGTGGTGTTTAGGCCCTGATTTTCTGTTCTCTAGGGCTGGGCAGTGGCATCACTGGGGTTGGCTAGACTACTTCATTGGAGAGCCACCCAAAGCTGCTGTTGGCAAATCATGATCTCCAGTGCTGCCATTTTCGAATAGCATACTCCATTGTGCTGTTTGTTTGCTGAACTCAGTCTTCTTGAGGGATGGGATGGCACACATACTTCTTGAGGTTCTTTTGGTTTTTGGTGGTTTCATCTTGGTCAGTTGTACCTTGGGAAGTATGGGGCTGGAAATGCTGCTGCCATGGACTGTTGAAGTTGAGTTTGGAATCACCTGCTCTTTCCCACTAGATGCTATTGTGGTGTTGCTGTTTTTGGGGTGGTGGAGTGGATTAAACTGTGGTTTTGGGCTGTGCATTGCTGCTGGAACTGCTGCCTGGCTTGGTAAACGTTCCACTCCTCCCTCAACCTACTGCTGCCTGTTTTTGATGTTTTGTTACGAGTTGTTGAGGTTATCTAAGTATAACAAATCCAAGCATTCTAAAAGTTACTTATGGGGAATGTGATATTTCTTAAGGAACAACTAAAATATGAAAAAAGCATGCCATGTTGAGTACTTTATTCATTTTCTTGTTGATGAGTTATTACATATTGAGCTTTGCTATGCTTTCTGGGTTTCTATTAGGGTTGAATTTGATGACTGGCTATTCAATTCTCCATTTAGTTGACTGCTTATGGATTGTAGACAACAACATTGCAGCTTAGTCTGGTTTAAAATCTATTTTTTGTTCAATTTGATATCTTTCAATTTGATTACCTCTGATACTTTGGATAGATGTGCTTGGCTTCGTGTTAGGGATACTCTGCATACTCTTCATAAACTGGAAATCCAAATTTGGCTATTGAAGGGCAGCCCCTCATTTGAAATTTTGGACCTTCAAATTTGTTTGGCTCTTTAAATTTTGACTCCTTATATGAAATTTCCATATATAAACACACCAATTTATAGCCCCTCATTCATTCACCTTTGTGTGTAGCGGGACAGTACCCTGTCCATGTACTTTTTCTTTCGTTTCAATGGAAGTGTTTATTTTTTTATGTCAATATAATTGTTTGAAACAATGTTTATTTGATTGTTGTACATATATTATCCGAAAGTATGAAAGTGAAGTTAGAGAGCGTATCCATTTTCATTGTAAAAAAGATTGCCGTTACTCTGAACTTTTAAAATAGTTCTAGGCTTAAGAGCTAGACTACTGTTTAGAACGAGTATTCTTAACTTTTAAAATTGTTTTAGGCTTAATACGCACAATTCTCTTAAAAAACAGTTTTCTTTACTTATTATAGATAACCGTGAAAAAAAGGTGTGACACACACAACTAGTAATACATTACGGTTTCTCAAAACTTTAAAAATAGTTCTAGGCTTAATAGTCTAACTACTGTTTAAAAAGGCTATTCTGAATTTATTATAGACAACTTGTAATAGATTACGGTTTCTATGAATTTTAAAAATAGTTCTACGCTATATAAATATACTACTGTTACAAGGGAGTCTTATATTCTTATAATAAACAACTATGCAAAACAAAACCATACGAAACATACAACTTACAATAGACCACTATTTCTTATAAGTTTAAAAACAGTTCTAAACTGAAAAACCAGACTACTGTTTAGAAATAGTAGTCTTAACTAATTTTTGACAACTGTGGCAACAAAAACTGTATTTTTAGATGAAACGGACTACTAGCTAGTAAAAGATTACCGTTTCTCACAACTTTAAAAATAGATCTACCCTTACTTCATAGGCTACTATTACAAAAGAATCTTCTATTCCCATTAGAAACAATAGTGGCAAAAAAACCATATGAAGCAGACAACTAGCGATAGATAACTGTGTCTAATAAGTTTAAAAACAGTTCTAGACTAGAACACCAGACTACTGTTTCGATAGAGTATTCTTAACTTGTTATTGACAACTGTTGTAACAAAAACTGTATTTTGAACGGACACAGACAACTAGTGATAGATTACCATTTCTCAAAACTTTAAAAACAGTTTTAAAGCAGAATAGCTAGACTACTGTTCTGTTGCCAAGAAAAACTTACAGTAGTATGTTTTTTTCCAACTACTGTGTTTCCATTAACAGTAGTTAATCAACAGTCGTCTGATACTGTTTTTGGCGTAGTGATAGTTTCGTTGAAGTTCGGTAACTAAAAATGGTATTTTCGAAATTGGACTCGAAGGTTGAAGAAGATGAACAGTGCTCGAAAATATGCAGAGAGGATCGATCATACCTATTGGATCGATCCTCTGGGCATAATTTTTCTATCAATGATCGATCAAATGCACTAGATCGATCCTCCAAAACCCTGACCCGAAAATTTGTCTGAAAATGCTCTTTTTGAGCTCTAAAATCCTATTTTTGATACCAATTGATTATGATTATTGTAAAAATGATTTTTCACAATAAAAGTGATGTTTTTAACAAATAAAAATGTTATGTGATGCATGACGGTAAGTTAGGGTGTTAACACCCGAAGCTAGGCCGCTAATTGTTATTGAATATTATGTTGATTGGTGATTATGGTAATGATTATTGATTGATGATTACGATAATTAAATCTTGATAAATGTTCTGATTAAAAATGGAAATCATGAATGATTAAATCATAATGAATATATTGATGATTGTGAAAATAATATGTATTATTAAGGGTATCTAGAAGACCTCTAAGATATACCCATATTAATGTTGATTTGAAAGGTATCTAGAAGAACTCTAAGATATACCTATATAAGTTAGGCCTTGCGGGTATGATGCTCGGTGGCTAGGGTTAAAACGTACGTACGGGATTCAAGAACCAAACTTGAGTACCTACTCGTTTGGGGGTACCACCCAACCCAACAGTGAACACTACGCTGTCGGTTTTTGGTTGACCTTAAGCGAAGGTAAGTTTAAGATTTGTAAACTCTTTTTAAAAATATATCTTAAACTAGGCCTAGCTTAAGGATTAGAATATCTTGAACTAGAATTAGTTTAAGAATGGAATTGGCCTTAGACTAAAATAGTTTAAGGATATTGTTGAATATGAATGTTGACTGTTGAATATTGAATGATGAATATTGAATAATGAATATTTAAACTGAAAATTATATGCATGATATCAAATGGTTGATTATGAATTGAGATTCAATTTATGTGGATGTTCGACGCATTAGATATGCTTACTCAGCTTCACCGCTGAACGTGTAGTGTGTTTTATTTGCTACACGCAGGTCAATAGAATGATGTGACGTGATCCTAGAGGTAGACGGAGGCGAGATAGTCGGAATGGATGTGATGGTTTTGAATTAAAGAATATAAATAAATTATGTTTGTGGTTATGATTTGTTAAGCTTCCGCAATATTGAAAACTCTGTACTATTTATGATATGAAAAATATTATTGTGATAAATAAAAGTGTTTGAAATGTTTTAAATTTTACGATTACCAAATTAATACTTTAGTCCGAAAGGGGCTGCAGACCTGGATGGATTAGGGTGTTACATAAAATCCAACTTGTATCCATTAAGTCATTCACTGATTTATCAAGTCTGACTGATAGGAACATACGTCATAAAAACATCTCAGCATGGCCATGCAATATCCTCAGTCATAACTTATCAGTGGGCCCCATAAGAAATTAATCTCTTAAAAAGAGTAGTGACAAATCCTATGTACGTAATCTATGCTTCTGAATACGCGCTACGGCATACCCAAAACAAAGCCTGTATACCATCCTTATTTCATATGGCTTAGGACAATGCATCAAAGCATGCGAGTTCACATATGCAGAAAACGTAATACTTCAAGTCGAAGGATAGTTACACCCGTGGTCGCACTAAAGATGCTTAGAGCATGAACTAAAAGTTCAAGCAACATCTTTATGATGGGTCAGTCCGGAATCCTATTATCTCAAAATATCTGCCTATGTGCGGATGCGAACACACCGTCATTGACTATGAGACTAAGTCAAACATCCAACACACACTAGTCTCACATGCATTAATAATATCCCGCTCTCGTTAATACTCGACTATGGACATTCAGATAAATATTTATTTCAAGATATTAGTCTCATCAGCAGAATAACACTATTTGATAAACATCTTTAAATATAAATCTAGGAATATAATATTTGTTTACCTTAGCATGAGATGTGCAAACATATAATATCTGCCTATACATGATAGAATAATGATAAACAGTTGGCCATCAGGGCACAACTCCAACAATCTCCCACTTACACTATGGCCAATCTTGTAGGACCTCAGGCGCTACCAACTCTTCTAAAACCAATTGGTGTTAGAAGAGGCGCATACCTTAGCCTTATAGTGCATTCAGCACACAAGCGCCCACGACATTCGATTGTGACTTGGCCCACATAGCCTCCGCCACGGGACAATTGCTGCACACATGGCCAACAATCTCCCCCTTAGCAATTGCTCCCGCTGGGAATCGAACTCGTGACCTTGGCTCCGATACCACTTGTAGGAATAATAGACCAACGCTAGAGGGGGGGTGAATAGCGTTTGATCAAGAAATCGCAGGAATAAAAATGAATAAACGAGAAGTAAAGAGAAAATAAAGAGGCACACCGATTTTACCCTGGTTCACCACAACTTGTGGCTAATCCAGCCTCCCGAGAGACTCTCTCGAGCTACACAACTATCTCGTTAAGCTTAACGGTGCTTAACAAACCCGTACAACTTGAGAGTTCGAGTTACACGAACCTCAACAAACCCTCGAAGGAAACAGCCCTTCCTTCGAACAACAAGAGAAATACTTTCTCTTGTCAAGTGTCTAAGAACACAAAAAAACACTCAAGAACAATACTCTCTCTTAGAGTGGATAATGAGTAACTAAGAACGCTCAAGAACACAACACAAGCTTCACAAAAATGGCTCTCAAAAAGCTATGAAAAAGTGATGAATGATTTGCAATGAAAGAGTAGAAGTTGTGAAGTAATGTGATATGTAAAACAGACCCAAACACCCCATTTTATAGCGGAAAAATAGGCTCCAACGGACCAAAACATTTAAGGGGTGATTGGCACAATTTGTGGGATTTGATTAAATTTGGATCTGCTGAAATTCACCCAGAAAGCGCTGTCCTAGGCTTGGACATCGCTGTTCTAGGCTTGGTTTTTAAAAATTGGGAAGCAACGGTCATGCCAACAGCGATGTCCAATACCCCTACATCGCTCTTTTGGCTGTTGACTTCCAAACAAGGAAAGTTTTAGCCTTAAATTCCCTCCAACGGTCAGGTCCCTACATCGATGTTCATTACTTGAACATCGCTGTTTAGGTCTGACTTTGAAGATGGAAGTTTGGCCTGACAGCGTTGTTGCTGGGTCAACATCGCTGTCCCGAAACTTTCTGCCAGAAGCATTTCTTTTTGGCTTAGGTTGGACAGCGCTGTAGGGAAGCCTACATCGCTGTTCCAGAAGTTTCTGGAAATCCAACCTTGGCTCAACAGCGATGTCTAACATCCAACATCGCTGTTGGAAGACTTAACACCAAACCATGGTTTTCAGCCACCCAAGCCAGACAGCGCTGTTGGTTTCACCAACATCGCTGTTGGGCTGGTTTAGCCAGACCCATGGTTGGTTTAGTCAGCCGTTAGCTGATGTCAAAAATGTAAGTTCTCCAAAATAAAAACCAAGTATTGAAAATGTTTGTTTAATGCATTTTGCTAAGAAATCAAGTAAAACATTTTGAAAACCACGTCATTTAGTTGAAAACTACGGCTAGCCAAGTTTACGCCGTTTCGCATGGTTTTCACTAATCGACCAAAAACGAAAGGTGGTTTTTGAAGCGTTTTTGTTGGAGAACTATTTAAACATGCCCA